AATATGCGTTTTTGCTGCCTGTTGCAGCGCTCTAGCGCTGCACGGCAAAAACGCATAAAAAGGGAGAGAGAAGCAAACGTTATGGCTATGCGGCAACGCCGACACACTGACCGGAATATAGGGGGAATGAAAGAATTGCGAATTCTAGTGCAGTGAGATTGCGTAGGGAAGAAAATTTACCATACAGGCAAAGAGAAAGAGAAGCGAATAGCGTGGCGATGAGGATTCGGAGAGAAGAGGAAGAAGTGTACGCCGAAAGTGAAAGAATTCTAAGCAGTATCAGGATGACTTTGCGTCGGCAAACGGATCCTGTAAAAAGGGCTGCAGAACGTGAGGCGAATGCCGAAGCGATGAGGTTCCGTCGAAGTACCAATCTGAAATTTAAAGAAGGGAAAGGCAAACAAATAGTGAAGCAATGCGAGTCCGAAGGAGCGTTGGGGAACTGCGATATCAAGGACATGCTAGAGACCGGAGGCGCAGCAACAGCGAAGAAGTAGTTATTCTGCTGCTGTTCTTATGTATGAAAATGCAACCACGGGGAGCCCTACTCATGTCTGCAACTGCTGCGGCCGATTGGAATTCAAGCGTTCTGTTGTAACTCTTCGGCTTTCAGAGTTGGAACAAGCAAGCAATGAGATTGGAGCACGACGGAATTTGGTAAGGAATGTCTTTTATTTACAGCAGGTTGAGGAGGGCACTTTTTGTAAAACTTGTGCACGAAGTATTAAATGCTGGAAACAGCCCCGCTACTGCCTTTCAAATGACTTAGATTTTTTTATTGTAGATGAAATACTTCGTGACCTGACAAGGGTGGAGAAGAGGCTGGTAGCAGCGCGTCGTATATTTCAAACAATCTGGCCTTCCCACGGCCCCAGTGGGCAGTTTCGTTGCAGAGGAGGAATTGTTAACGTCCCCCTCTCTGTAGACACGACAGTATCATTACTTCCTCGCGTTCCTAGCGACACACGCGTTGTGTACATTCGTATCGCACGGCGTATGCAATACAGAGGTAATTATGTTTCCGGTAATGTTCGACCATCTCGTGTTTGGGAGGCAGCATTGTACCTGACGAAACAACCTCTGTATCAGTCTCACAACATTGATATTTCGGACAATTGGCTACAGCAACACAATCGTAATGAAGGCCGGATAGCAGATGTTAACATAGAACCGGAAGAAGATGAAGAACTGGAGGAAGCGGAGCCTGTTAACCTCGGTGCACAAGAAACGATGTTGATGGAGGAGGAGAACCAGTATGGTGTAAGGATGGTACCAGGTGAAGGGCGCAGATCTCTTTCAATTCTTCTAGATGAAGATACGGAATACCTGTCATTTCCAACAATTTTTGGAGGACAGAAACTGCAACCAGTTTTTGGAAACGGACCAATGTCCTATGCAGATATAAGCAAATCTTTTGTAATGCGATACAACCGAAGAGTAGCACGGCGACCTGATTATCTACTTTTTATAGCAAAAAAGATAGAGCTGCTCAAACTTTCTAGCAATATGTCTATATGCCTTAGAAAAAAGAAAATTCGCAACCGTAGTGACATCAACGCCGCCAATTTGTGCAACAGTGACTTCGTCCATGGACTTGTAGCACACGATGACGCTTACTGCGTCCTTGCAGGCGTGCGAAATTCATGTACACATTGGCGTAACGAAAAGCAGAAAGTATTGGCAATGGTAAGACAGTTCGGTTTGCCAGCGTTCTTCCTTACCCTTTCGGCTGCGGAAACACAATGGCCAGAACTTTTGAAAGTTTTGAAAGAAGTTCTAGATTATCAAACTATTACTTCAGAAGAAGCATTCGCTTTGTTGTACGCTGAAAAAGCACGACTGATCCTGTTGGATCCAGTAACATGTGCTCGGTATTTCCACCATCGGTACCATGAGCAAACGAAACTCTGGAGTCTACCTGGTGGCCCATTCGAAGGCAGAACCATCACTCACTCATATTGTAGAGTGGAATTTCAACAACGTGGGTCACCACCAACTTATCTGGTTAAGCGATGCTCCTATTTTCGACAGTTCGACAGGGACGAACGAGCGCGAAGTATGCGATTTCATAGACAGGATTGTTTCATGTTCCCATATCATAAATGAGACAGCAGAGCCGGGACCGCAAAACAATCCCTATTATTCCAGAATTACATACACACGCGTACGTGTCGCAAATATGCTTCGGGAAAATGCAGATTTGGGATACCATTCTACCCAATGCGTGAGACACGCTTTTGCGACCGCTAGCCGAAACTATTGATGCACAGGAACAGGAGCGTCTCGTTAAGCTGTTGAAACAAGTAAAGGCAGTTTTAAATGAAGTTGAAAGTGTAATCAACCTCAATTTTGACGAATTCCTTCACTTGTGCCAAGTAACTGATGAGGACTATCTTTTGGCAGTAAGGACCGAACTGCGCAGACGCAAAGTTTTTTTACGACGTACGCCTTCTGATATTATGATCAATCCATATTCACCGAATATTCTGTCGACGATGAGGTCAAACATGGACTTGCAGTACGTACTTGACCCGTACGCATGCGCCACATATATCATTGACTACATCAACAAGTCGGACAGAGGGGTTAGTACAAAAATTGAATACATTATCAAGGGGCTGCGAAAAGGAAGCAGCAGTTTACGTGAAGCAATGCGTAGTATTTCTGCTGCCCATTATGGTTCCAGTGAACTTTCAGCCCAAGAAGCAGCGTATAACATTTTGCAGCTACCAATGTCGTGTTGTACTGAGCGTATAATCTTCATACAGACGTCATTACCAGATGAACGTGTACGAATTCTAAAGCCCATGACGAGCTACGCACTTTGGACCCCGCTTCTGGCGATTGCTTCACACATGGTTTGCTAGAGCACTATATGAAACATTCGGTGGAAATCGAAAACATCACGCTCGCGGATTTCTCAAGGACAAAGCGTCATTCTGTTGCAGAAAATACGGAGCCAGACGAAGATAATTTTGACAGCAGTGATGAACTGCAAGGTGCCTTTGCAAGGAGGAACTACATATGCCTGTTGGATGATGCAGGTTACATCAGAAAGCGCTCGCGACTAAAAATCATTCGATATAGAATGTGCAACGCAGACGTGGAGCCGGAGCACTTTTACGGGGAGTTAGTGATGTTGTGCCATCCACGGAGAAACGAAGAGGAAGAAATTATCAGTGCTAACTGCGAGGCTTTGTTCAACAGGCACCGCGAATCAATCTTGCGGGTTAGGCAGCAATACCGTTATTTTTCAAATGCCAGTTTTGAAAATGCATTGAAGGAAGCTGAAAACGATGCTCAAGCCCGTGAGATTGACGAAGAGCGCGATGCTCATGCACCAGTGTTTGATTCCGACGATTATTATCTTGAGGACCAGGAGATGTTGCACATTGACGATGGAGAGTATCAGCGCAACCCATATGCAGAAAGCTTCCAACTGCCAAATCTAGTTCCGAGCACCGAATTTGAGCAATTGCTCAGCATGCTGAACTATGAGCAGAGAGATTATGTGATGTACATTGCTGCACATTTTAAACGGAATGATGGGCCCATTTATCATTTCATTACAGGCGGAGCAGGAGTGGGGAAAAGTGTTTTAATCGGGGCAGTATACCAGGTTTTGCTGCGAATATTTTCACAGCGACTGGAACTAAATCGAGACTTCCCCACCGTTCTTCTTTCTGCTCCAACTGGAAAAGCGGCTTTCAATATTAAAGGAGTTACGCTGCATACACTATTTCAACTGCCCGTCAATTCCAACAATCTCAATGAACTCTCTGCTGACGTATCCAACACAATGGCAACCAAACTTCAGCATTTGCAGGTGCTCATCATTGACGAGATATCGATGGTTGGGGAGCCTATGTTACACATGGTGAACATGCGTTTACGTCACTTATCCGGTGATGCAGACTTCGGAGGGAAGAATGTGATTGCAGTTGGTGATTTCCATCAATTGCCTCCGGTAATGGCAGCACCCGTGTATGGAACCAAATCACACAATCCGTATGTGGAAATATTTGCTAGACCTCTATGGCATTTGTTCAAAACTTATGAATTGAAAACGGTCATGAGACAAAACGAGCGGGAGTTCAAAAAAGCGTTGGCGAATTTCGCGAGAGGTCAGCTCACTGGCAACAGACGAAGCAATTTTCCGGTCCCGTACTTTTACGAAAATTCCTCCAGATGTAGTTGCCCATCGACTTGTTTTTCTCTTTCCACTTAACAAGGAAGTGGACGAATGGAACGAAAGAGTGTTGAAAGAGATGCCCGAAGTCGAAGCAGAGCATGACGCATCGGATCGTGTTGTCGAAGAGGGACCAGAAGGTGCCAAACGCATTATGCTTCTAAGTGTTAGCGGCGATTGAGTGACCACACAACAAACAATGGGCTTAACGCGCTTACTATTTTTGAAGGTTGGCGGGCGATACATGGTGACCTACAACTTGGATACAAGTGATGGTCTAACAAACGGCGCTACAAGGCGGTTGGTCAGGATAGACATGAGTTCATCGCGCCAGGAACAAAGTGATGCGCCGAAACCATTGCGTGTGTGGCTAATTTTTGACGAACCAGAAGTAGGCAGCAAAATGCGGAGACAGTATGAGAGTATCATTAGGCGTTTTCAGTATCCGCCGGACTGGACACCACTGGAGCCTGCAGTCGTGACGATAAAACGCAACAAAACGTCAAATCTGCAAGTTCTACGTAAGCAGTTCCCTCTGGTGCCCGCGGAAGCAATGACAATGCATAAAAGTCAAGGACAGACATATCCGTCTGTCGTCGTCCATGTAACTGCAAGAATATCTCGCGCGCTGCTATATGTTGCAATGTCGCGAGTAACGTCACTTTCTGGGCTTTTCATCATTGGTACTTTCATTTCTCCTCGAAGACCGCAGCCCAATGATCCGCTGCAAATTGAGCTAAGGCGTCAAGAGCAATGTCTGCTCGAACCTATATACAAATTCCTCCGAACAGAACACTGCGGTGTCCAGGTCATATACCATAATGTGCAAAGCTTCGCCGAGCACAGAGATCGAATTGAAAAAGACACCGTTTTCACAGCGAGTGATATCATACTTGTCGGAAAAACGTGGGCACTGCCAGCTGAGGAAATCAGTGTCAGTGGCTTTGAAGCAGTTTCACGAAGTGATTGCGTCGGATATGCTAGTAGACCACGTGGTGCATGTTGCCTTGTATCGAAGCGACTAATGGATCACGTACATGATGCAGCAGGGATAAAGATGGGTGAAAATGAGGATGTAATTGACGCTGCTACCATTAAACTGGATGGCGTGCTAATTGCTGGTGTGTACGCGACGCCTGGAGTCACAAACGACCGCATTCATGCATTCCTGTCAAGGATTTATACCGAAGACGGCCGTAAAATTATATTGGGTGACTTCAATCGCAATGTGTTATAACCATGGTTTCAAAGATATATTGCAGCAGTTTGGATTAACAATCAGCAACATCAATACGGCGACAACACGTGCCAGTACAACTCTCGATATCGTTTTAAGCAATTTCGAAATTACATCTGGCACATACGTTTCAATGTCTAGTTTTCATGAACCGATTTGGACCCGATACGAAACCCAAGCAGAAAATAGTGCAGCTCACAGTGATACTATGAAATGTATGTCACTTTTTAATGAACTTTAGGTCATATGATCTTTAAAATACGCTACTCTTTTTCATCGGCCAGTATCTCGTTCAAATAGCCTACAGAACTAATAACCAAGTGATCAGTAATCTCCAAGTTGAATGAAACGATATACAGAATCGGCTGATGACCTCGATTGTTGCTTCAAAGTGGCCGAGCTATGTCCCGTGTTTACACACATCTAGCAAATGAACATAGGCTGAAAATAACGTGTAGCAGCATTGTACCGTGCACGGAAATGGGGTACTCAACAATCTCTTCTTCATAGTGATATTATCCGTATTGATCATTCTTGCCATACTGATCTACAACAGGTAACTTACTCCTATCGTGACCAACAACTTATGTCTCATAAGTTTTGCATTCGTAAGCTCATGCATTGCCAGCCCACCTCCCTCCTCCTGTGCTCTCTGCAGTGAACCTCCTCTCCAGCACTTTCCCTACCCCGAGTATCCGCGGCAAACAAAAACCTCTTCACCCCACTCCCCATGGCCGACACCACGTTCCCAATTAATTAACTGAACTAACCCCTTCCTCTCCCTCCAGTTCCCACGTTCTCGCCCTACCACTCGCACATGGCAACGCCCTCCCCCCTCCCTTACTCCTTCACCACACCCTCCGCAACTTCAGAGTCCCTCGTGATGGCGCGGCAAGCAAACTCGGAGAAATCAGACAGCGAATCGTACAGTGGTCCCGGCCGAGGTGAGATGAGTCTAGTTTAGTATATACAGATAATCGAAGCTTACATAGCTTACACTGATGGGTATTGGCTAGTTAAAGGTTAATTTATGAATTACAACTTGTGAATTAGTTAGTGGGGGATACGCAGTGCCCAACGCGATAGTCCAAAAATAGGCTGTTGCCTGATACAGCATTTAATGTGCACAAATTTTGAAGGTAAACTTCTTAATGACTGCTGTGAATGAAAACCGTCCAATAAAACATATTCCAGACAGCTTCATCGCGTTGTTAGCGTACAATAAATGAGATATTTAAAGCGTTGGAATGAAGAGCTTGAATACTAACTGACGCAGCAATCGCAGATGTGCCCCGTGTCTGCCTTAGTTGCAATTTGATACGTACAATATCATGCCAGTAGCTGTCTCTGCACATGCCATGACTGACAAAGTCTTACATCCTCGCTTACGCACTTTCTCAAAGCTCTTATCTGTCACTTTTTCAGATTGTCGGTATCTAATTACGGCAATGTTTGCTGGTTTTCCTATTCTCCACCATTCCAAATCGGTATCTCTAGGCAATGTGAGAAATTTGGAAGCCTCACCTTCGTTCCCTTGTGTAGTTAAAAATTCTTCCTCGTTCACTGTGCGCGTCATTTCGTTCACCCCAAATCCTATAAACGAACTGTTTGCTCCATTAAATTTTCCTCTGCATTGTGAAAATAGTTTCATCTTCATGCAGTCCGAATGCGTTGCAATTCGTTTTCGCCCCTTGAATTTTTATTCGGTCTGCCGCCCAACTGCAGTGATCCTCCCTCCGCATTCTAATTTATATTTCTTTTGAGAAATACTGACTTGCTGCGCATTTTCTTGGTTTATATGTATTCAGATAATTCTTCTCGTGATAATGCATTGCTTCTTTATTAACTTCTCTCTCAGTCTGCATTCCCGAAGTTGCTGTTGTGCTACTGCCAACTTTCCATAAATGCTATTTTGTACAGCAGTAAATGTTTGTTTACAAGTGAGATGATCGCTGTAATGCTTATAGGCGTTTTTATGCGTTTTTGCATAAATGTAAATTGCAAAAACGCATATTGGGAAGAGGCTGTCTGTGTGTGTGTGTGTGTGTGTGTG